TAAAAACGATCAGGCCAATAGCGAACTAAACTTTCCAATGGAAAGCAGGCGCGCAACAAAGAAATTTATGAAAGACGAAAAATTTTTGTGGTTTCTATGGATAAAATTTACTAAACAACTTTTCCTTCTTGTATTGAAAGAAGATCATTTTGATCGCATTACCTTTAATTGTATTTGTTTTGAAATGAAAAAAAAACCACTGTCCCACGATACAGCGGCCAAGTGAGGAACGATGTGGATCAGTAGTTCAATGCTATTTTTGACGAACCATTTATCCTAGTTTTAGGTGGGGCTCGACACAAAAGTGCAGTTAATAAAATCAATAGTTTCATGAAAACACAAAGGAAAACATGGGTTAACATTTCTTCATTCGAGCAAAGTAATTACGCCTGCCAGAAATGATTGAAGGATTGATTTGATTTCCGAAATTCTCGTAAAGTTTCGCTTTTTTAGCTTTTGAAAGCTGTCCCTGGTTTTCCTCAATAGTTTTTTTAAAAGTAAATTAACAGAGAGAGAGACACAATCGTTGTTTGTTAATGCATGTGTTTCATTTCAATATCATTTTAATGAATGTTTACGTAATGATATAGTGTAGTAAATAATTATAAATATATATATACTTAAAGCATTTATATAAAAAGTATAAATAATTACAAATATATTTAGTAAATGGAATAATTAAAAATTAAAATTAAATAAGCCCCTGGCTCCAAACTAATGACATACAAAATGTTTTAACTCAAACCATATTGTATATCAGCTGATGTTGCATTCTAGTAATTAACAGCATATTTGCGATCAGAAGCATTATGAATAGATTGAGTGTTATTGAGGTTACAGAAGAGAGAGAGAGATGCAAGAAAATGATATATGGAAATATCGAAGATGAGAAGAAGTGTTAGTTCACGGTACTCCCATGGAGGAAAATATTAACCTTTTTAATTACAAATACCAATTTAATCATTATTGAAGCAATGTGACATAATACCGCAACTTAAATGTAGGTCTTACGCCTGTATCTGGCATCAGCCCTTGCAGAATTTCTCTCAGAAACATTTTACGCATCTTTTATGGTTTTGTGGTTGAACTTTTTTCACAGTTTGGCTTCGGATAAAGAATTCGACATCAACTACGTAGAATTTGTACAGAATTAGCATTTCTAGATTGGCTGCACTTTCACAGAATGTGTCGCACTGCTTTTCTTAATAAGAAAAGAAATAAATTCATGTCTTTGTCGATGTTGTGTTATTTTTTGTAGCAAGAGTTTCTTCATTTATATCCTTCGAAAATCTACTTCTCTCTTCGCTCTGTGTTTGTTTCTAAACTACGAACTTGGCACCATTTACAAGTGCTGCAAAAGTTTATATATACAGCTCGGCAAAACACGCTGCTTTGATATTAAATAAGCATATGAATTTACATATGTATATACACAATCATAAAAAAAAAAAAAAACGTAATCTCAGGTTATGCTCACAAACCTGAAAACCGTCCCTTAGAATTTACAAAAACATTTTTGAGCAATATCGGAACAGCTGTCTGCAAATTATAATCGGATTAATATAATTGTTGATCAAGTGACATTTCCACGGAAACTTTAATTATCCCTTTCTTAGCCAAGGTTAAACTAACTAATTTCACAAAAAACCTGACGCATTTCGCTCCGTTCATCATCACGATTTCATTTAGTCTTCTTTCATTTAGAAAAAAAGCACAGTGGAATACATATATCCAAACAGAGATAGAACCGTTCGTTATATAAAAGACACAAGACACATTGTATAAGAAAATAATACTTCAGAGAAAAAAACACTTGTGTTTTTGACTGTGCTGCCTAAAGACACTTCTGTCGCAGTTATTGATAAGGCAAACTTTGACGTCTCTTCGATTGAATCCCGATTTAAAGGCGACATTATGTTTCGAATGGTTCAGTAGCGTTTTTCCCCTTTCCTTATTACGTACCGATAATTATTCGTACGGATGGTAGGTGCATTAATTTCATCAAAACCCCACAGTGTGTTTATATTCGCTGTTTACCTCGTCATTATTATCAAATTCTATATCGATTTAAGTATACTCTTCGGTGCGCCTGCGCATTTCAGAAAATTTGCCAGAAACTTTGGAAATTCGGTAACGAGACATATTCTTAACCATCCAACGTAATTTGAGAACAATTTTGTTTTCAAACTCGAAAAAATGCGTATTTTGATCATTGCTCGTAATCTGCAACAATAAATATTTGCATAGTCTGGTGTACTGTATAGTGCGTATTAAGTTCGCCCGCAACCTACTATAATTTTCTTGCTCATTAATGTTATTGTGTTACGTTTCATTTATCGAGTATTTTACGTTTTTAGTTAATTTACTATTCGCACATTTATGACTTAGCTTTACGACTTTTCCTTTTGCAGTCGCACGTCCACGATTTCATGTGCGTACATTTTGGCTGAGGCGTCTGCAAAAAAAGATATCAGCGTCACTTTCTTTCTGCTGAGACATATACATATTCTTGATTACAATTCAGTTCCGCAGGCGCAAATGTGCTTAATTTCTGTCACTCTTCACGACAAACCCAAAGCGCCTTGACTGCTTTGACGACAAGCAAAAGCAATATTTTTAATTAATTAAATAAATTCCTTGAAAAATATCATTTGAGAGAAATTTTTATCTTAAAATTTCGCCCTCTTTTCAACGCTCTTCCAAAGCATTCATTACCTTTGCCCAATTTATACCTGCTGGGCAGTTAACTTCTTTAATCCACTAACAAATGTCTTTAGAAAGTCTTGACATGCATTCAAAAATAAGTTAAAGTTTCATTCCTATGACTATTGTTGAGTGGACACTAGACTGAGATCACTTCGAAAGTTGCCAGTGCTTCTGCGAGTAGCTAAAAGTTAAGATAACATTTCTGAAGTTAGTTATAGATTCGGTATATAATTACAAATTTTTCTGCTTTATCTGCTGTCATGTCGCAACATGTAACGTGTAAAACATACAATTGTACGTCTAAAGGCTGCAGGCACCTTCTTATCAAAAACCTTGAAAAGAATATTTTGACATTCAATTTTTATTCTTTCTATTCGAATTTCATTTAAATCGAGCTTAGTAATAAAACAATGCCTTCTTTTGTCGAAACCAGAGCTTTTTCCTTCAAACAACTGCCAATCGCACAAAAATCAATGTTTTACAATTCAACATAAGCTGCAAGCAATAGCAAGCATACTAATAGACTTGCATTGTTTTATTTTATTTTTATTGGGTCCGCCGAGTTCCCTAAATTAAAGTTGCCTCATGAAAATGACTTACGTGCTGTCACTTTTTTTAAACTCTTTAAAAAAACAATTAAATGTATGCTTACTAAGTTCCCTCGCTCATTATTATTTGATTACCTTTTCCTCCATCACAGAAAAATTGCCGCCGAAAGAACCTCTTTTCTTAAATATTCATTGTGCGATCTCCCTTTTAAGCCTTTTCATGAAAAATAAGATTAAAATTAAATGGTAAAAAGTCAAATACGCATTCCTTACTGTTTGAAGAAAGAAGAAACTATCCGATCTACTCTTTCTTCTACTTGTTGTAGTCGTATGCAATTTATTATCAAAAATATTACATAAGCAAGTCTCCATGATCTTTTTGCTCTCTTTGTGACTGAGAACATCCTTATCTGCTCATGCGTATGAAATATGCATAAGTGAACGAGAGAATGAAGCAAAAGCGTATCCATGAGAGAGAGCGAGAAAGTCAATGTTCATTAGGACAAAATTCTCTTATGTAATGCTAAGAGAAGGACAGGGATACCTTCGGTATAGAGTGTGCACGCTTATGCAAAAGACACGCGCTTGCATATACGCGCTTTTTGCAAATACGATCCGCCATGTTAGGCAGCATAATAGCAAAATGGATATTATTTGCAAACACGATTCGCTGTAGTGAACAAGACAAGAGCAAAATGGCCATAGGAGATTATATTATGCTATACGTTCATATAATAAAATATATAGAGGAATTGTTTGTTCTTCTCTGACATGTGCGAAAATTTTGTTACTTGCGCTTGAGGTTTGGAAATATAATGCATTCAGGAATTTTCTTCGATTATGTTTTTTTACATTGCTCTTTTGAAAAGAAAAGAACCATGTCACAGTGTTGTTCAGAACATAAAAGACCTGACGTGCGTTGCTTCCCCAGAATCTATTTGCAAACTTGCATGAAGGAAGCGTTCGCATTTCATGGCGAGTCTAAGTAAAAAATCATACTCTTTCATATTATTAAAAAAATCGACACATTTCGATCAAAATCCAGAAATTCCTCAACAGCAAGACGTAAAGCAAATCTTCTGACTTCGTGTTCAAACAAAGAACATACCAGGGGTCCAGCAAAAGCTACAAGGATATGCTAATCAAATCATTATGTGAATAAAAGTCCAATTCTTTGTTTTAATATATTTATTGATAATATCTATATATTGGTTTTATAGCACTGTTAGCTTGCAGATAATTGATATACGTATCATTAACATTTCTTTACATTTTTTAACATTCTTTGATTTAGACTGTTTAACTCCTGTTAATTCTGTTGGCTGTTATAGTCTTCAATTTTCCTCAAGTTCAACTCAACTTCGTTTGTCTTTTCTTCAGGTTTATCTTTTTCACAGTTCATTTCTTGGTATTATTTGTTTGATATTATTTCCGAAGAGAAACTCGCAGATCTTCTGGTTTGTAAATAAGCGTTATTTCCTTCCAATATTCTCTCCAATATTTCTCTTATAGAACAAATCGTATGGTATCCGCAAATCCATAAATCATTTACTGCTTTAGAACAAAGAAAAATGAAACTGAGTTCACCTCATTCGTCGCCTGTTGGCAGTTCCGAGGTGTTCTGTAGAATTTTCCTTAGAAAAATTGTAGGAAATGGCAATATATATATATATGGAAAAAAACAAATACTAAGCATGTATATGTATGTGTATGCTTGTTTGTGAATACATGCACATAAATTATTTTAGAAAGAAAATGAAATAGAAAAGGGGATACGCATTAATGCGTAATCAAAACTATTTGTAAACACAAAATGTTCAGCTTTTCCCTGAACAAATTTACAACAAGTCTAAAGCTGCGGGTATAATCCCCTCAACGCTTAGTAAAACCTGTACCAAGCGATTAAATTCATTACTAAAACCCATATTCAACAAAACTTTAACGCCACTATTGATGAATTCGTCAGCGTGATAAACGATCTCAATGGGTGCTTCAATTACGTTGTTACCGGACGAAGCAACACCTTCGGCGGAGATTCCTGACATTGTCCGTTCGTTGGTGACTTCTGCAGAGTCTGAAGCTGCAACATCCTCCACAATAACGATATCCGCATTTTTACCATTAGAACACCCTTCAGCTGGAATTGTTGACTCGACTTTTACAAACGAATCCCAGATGTTTTTGTCTTCATTATCACTGCTGGCATCAACATCATTTCCCCGAACATCGTTTGCAACTTCCTCGTCATCCCATGGCGTGTAATTGTCATTCTTTTCATATAATCCACACGGCTTTTCATGCACATCATTTACAAAATCTATTTCCGAACATGCGTCGTTCTCATCATCATGGGCTAAGTGTGTAGCACAAGATGTATTGAGATTAACAGCAGCTTCCTCCTGAAGACTGTCCCCGTCATCCCATGATGTGTCACTGTCATTCTTTTCATATAATCCACACGGCTTTTCATGCAAATCATTTACAAGATCTATTTCCAAACTTCCATCGTTGTCATCATCAATAGCAGCTTCTTCCTGAACATTGTTTGCCATTTCCTCATCCTCCCATAGTTTGTAGTTGTCATTCTTTCCGTGTAAACCACATGGCTTTTCATGCAAATCACTTACAAAATCAATTTCCGAACTTCCATCGTTGTCAATAGCAGCTTCTTCCTGAACACTGTTTGCCGCCTTTTCCTCATCCCACGGTTTGTAGTTGTCAATCTTTTCATTTAATCCACATGGCTTTTCGGGCAAATCATTTACAAAATTTGTTTCCGGAATAGCATCGTTTGCAATAACATCGCTTGAACAAGCTGAGTGTGTAGCGTAAGATGTATTGAGATCAACAGCAGCTTCTTTCTGAACACTGTTCGCCACTTCCTCCTCATCCCATGGTTTGTAGTTGTCATTCCCTTCATTCAAACCACGCGGCTTGTTATGCAAATCATTTTCGCGAATGTCGTGATTAGTGTCGAAAAATTCCGACGCACTTGCTTTCATTTCATCGGCTTCTTCACTAAAATCTTTGTCAACGGCTGTTATTGGAGCCACAAATAAACGACGACGTTCCGAACACGTAACCATAAATATTTCATAATCATGTTGGTTGAAAATTTCAATTTCATCACATTCTTCATCGACCCAATATATGCGGAGTATGCCGGGTTGTAGTTGATAGAGGTCGACGAAATACGCTTTTATCTGCGTTTTAACATATTCATAAGTGGGTGAAATCGCTTTTAGATAAATATGCAAGTCCTTGTCCTCCTGTAGCTTATAAGTGACCTTTAACACGCAAACCGATGATGACATCGGTTGTTGTTGGTGTTGTTCTAGACCAGTAATTTTGAGCATGTTGTTTT